CTACTACTGCTCCTCCTGCTGCTGCTGCTGCTGCCGCTGCTGCTGCTACCACCACCACTACTACGACGACTGCTACTGCTATGGCGACGACGACGGTGTCCACGAACACACAGAGAAGGATTACAACGAGGACGATGACTAGAAGGAGACGTGAAACCAGGACACATAGGACATGTCTTCTATGGTAGTAAAGAGATCCATGCAGCCATGCCAACATGTATACAGCATCTCTCGCGTATGTGTGTGTATATATATATATATGTGTGTATATATGTAGATATGTAGTTCATACAGAGTCACAGCGGCTGTCTTGCGACTACGGATACAGACCTGGCCTTGTGTACACATTCTCATGTACACACGCCGTACGCATGCTGCTCGTGCATTTTCACCGTGCTTTCCAACGATGTTGGTACCAGTATCCCTCAGATTACTGAGAGCTGCTTATGAATCACCCCTATCGTCTCACCCGAGACACCCATTGTTGTTATTTACAATACATCATATCCTTAGATGTTGGGTCCTGTCCTTGAGCTTAGGCAGCAGCCTGTTGGCATGTGCGTCAAGATGCTGATGTCGCCGAAGGCGCAGCGCCACGTCAAGACTAGTGTAGTCAGGACAGCAAAAAACAGCCCTAAACCTTGGACTCTAAACTCTGAACCTGGGGTAATAAGGAGCTTAACCCAAGAAAGCCTTAAACCTCAACGTGAACCCTAATTGCATTGGATGTTGTCTTCAGGTGGGCCTGAGAGGGAGAGGGCCTGGTCTGAGATCCTGAAGTCGCGAACCCGAAGCCCAGCACCAATAGTGCTGTATTCATTCCATATTTATGAAGTATCATCGCACATTCTGTCATAAAATTTTCATGTCGTATGATATTGTACTGTGCTGTACCGTACTGTATGATATTATGCATTACATCGTATTGTCATCCTAAATTGAACCATAGCGTAGTCCCCAGCTTTTGACAAATCGACCCCGGCAGCAGGAAGGAGCTGCCATCATCGGACCCTCTGGTCTGGGCCTCGGTGGGTGGGTTTAGGGGTCTTGCTAGTTCGCGTTACTTTCAGTAGTTTTCTATTACTAGCTCTAGCGTTATTAGAAGAGCTTTGTAGTACTATAATAGAGATTTAGTATTAGCGGTGTGTATTATTAGTTGTTGCTGTCAGTGATTATCAGTACTCTTACCGCTGCTGCTCCAGCTTCTGTGTTCCAAGCCCTATGCGCGAGTGTAGCGACTCTCGGCCATGGCCTTGTGGCTTCTGGTCCCGATTGCGGTCTTTGCAGGGGCACGGGCCTTTTCAAGGGAACACCTTGAGCGGTTTTATGACAGTCTGAGTGAGGTGGAGTGCTCGGTAAGGGTGGATTGCCAGGCAAGATACGGCAACGTGCCCGCAGTCGAAGCACTTCTACCCAGCATTTACTTTCGTTGCGATGGATTGGAAGAAGCCGCCACGTTTGGCAAGACATCCGTCGTCGAGTACCTACTGGACAAAGCCAGGAATTGCAGCACAACAGAACCGTTGGTGGAAGCGGCTAGTGAAGGCCAGGTGAAGGCCGTCGAAGTCCTTCTACAGCACAACGACACAACGGACTACCGAAACTCAGCCGGCGACACGCCGCTCACGGGAGCTGCTCAGAATGGCCGTGAGCAGACTGTGCGGGTGTTGCTGGCGCACAAGGCAGATCCTGAAATGGGGGACAAGCACAACATCACAGCGCTCATATGGGCTGTTAAGAACGGCCACAAAGAGGTGTTCCAGGTCTTACTCCAGTCTGGAGCCACCCTCAAGAACCCGTGGGCCATTGATCCCACGACCAATTTGCCCATCTATAATGAAATCGAAGACCAGGATATGAGGAAATGGTGGAAGTCCCGGATGAGCAAGTTCTCGCAAGTGCAGATGGTGTTTTCCAACCCAAGAACATACTATGCCATCATCGGTGGAATTCTTTCAGCGCTCTTCATGGTCTTTCTGCTTCACAAGCTGGAATCGAATTCCAAAGATACCAGAGCGGTCCAGCTGGTGGCTCAGGACCAGGGTGAGTTCGGACAGGGGGCTTGGCTTCTTGTAGCCAAGGCCGAAAAGCGGGACACATGGACGGGTGGTACTGTACTCCTCCTCTTCCGAATGCTTGAAGCCTTCGCCAACATCGTGGCAGTCTTTGGCTTCGGAATGGTGCGGGTTTGGTGGGTCCAGTGGCTCCCAGTTGTGACTCTGGCCTACCTTTGCCCGGCGCTCTATTACTTGAGACACCGGAGCTTCTTCGCGCTTCTGCGAAAGCCGGCTTTGGTCATTGCTGCCCATAGTCCCGGCAGTGCGCTCGTCGCACTCCTGCGCATGACAGTGTTGGGAGGGATCGTGTGCTTTCATAGTGATACCAGTCCTGCGATGAAGCAGGTGAATGCACGGTTCGAGTCGGATTGGGGTGGACAGATGTTGCTGCCCGACGAAGCTTTCACATTGCCACTACCAGAGGTGACCATGAGGAAGCTGATCCAGATATCTGCTCCTCTGTCTATGGTCTTTGTCCTTGCCTACATGTTGGCGCTCCTGATGTACATTGCATTGTCTTCGGCTATCGAGGCCGAGGGGTGACTGCATCTTCTGCAGCTGCTGCTGCTAATGCTGCTGCTGCTGTTTCCATGATTTCTACCACAAGTGACCACTTAGTCATACGACGACGAGAGCTACCCAGCTAGCGTGCCCGGGACGACAGTTCTTAAGATGACGACGACTGAGAAGACGACTAGCACATTCTCACAAGTACTGTATCGAGTTGGACTGACGACGAGGGTAACTACTACTACTACTACTACTACTACAACGACGACGACGACGACGACGACGACTACCTACCTACCTACCTACCTACCTACCTACCTACCTACCTACCTACCTACCTACCTACCTACCTACCTA